TTGTTCTCCTATTCCAAGACCAACTCTTTAACCATCATATTACAATGGCAGATGGTTTTAAGTCCCATCACAGACAACCCCAGTTAAAGGGATTAAATAGCAAGTGCTGAAAGAGTAAACAGTATTCTACCAGACACAGCAGTGAGATGTTGCTACAAGAAACTTTCCTGTTCCTTCAAAATAGATAGAAGGGACAATAAATAACAACTGCAATAACAGGGGAAAATCAGATTTGGCAAGATTTATACCTTTCAAATCAAGTTATTTTGGATAAAGACAGCCGCACTTTAAACATTTTCAACTTTAAAAAATTAATTTCTTGGATGAGATCTCCAAGAAAGTACTGATTTATATGCTATCCATTCCTGAATAGTTCTGATTGATTTATCAATGAGTTTGTATAAGCCACCAAAACCATTCACACACTGATGGCATCTCATCTTATAAACTAAACACTGAATAAATATCGATAGAATGCATTAATCATTTAGTACGTGTATAGTAATAATTCCACAACGAATATGGAATGTTTAAACATCTATATCAGGAATATGGCTTTGTTTTTCCCCACTGTTTTCATTCATGTTTCCTTTTCTTTAGATGATGGGAGGCAAAGGTCTAAAACATGCCTCTGAGATTGCGATATTGAATGCTAACTACATGGCAAAGCGACTAGAGAACCACTACAAAATCCTCTTTAGAGGCTCTAAAGGCAAGTATCATCACTGGGAGTACTTTCTGCCCAGCACAGTTAGCCATTGTACCAGCATGTTGACATTTAGCAAAAGTGAAAGAAACAAACTGAGCGAGGGAAGCTTAGTTTGAACAGCTTTTATCAAAAGCCAGAATAAGCCACCCTTATCCTCTCAAATAGGAAGCCTCATTCAAATCTCCAGTAGTTGCTTCTCTGCTCAGCAAGAAGGCCTATCTAGAGCCCACGGAATGGGGAACTGCCCTCTTCCTGGTCCTCTTGTTTTATACTCATATTTTATTATTCTAAGAGATTCATGTGTCTAAATCTTTACTTCAAAACAGGTTATGTAGCTCATGAATTTATTTTGGATACTCGGCCTTTTAAGAAAACTGCAAATATTGAAGCTGTGGATGTTGCTAAGCGGCTTCAGGATTATGGTGAGATTTTTTCTTCTTCTTCTTCCTTTTTTAACCACTTCATTATTTTGAATGCTCCGTGTTTCACAGCCAACAGAGATGTGATTTTTTAATGCTGCTGCAGGGGGACTGCAGAAAGAGAAAGCTGCTCATGGCTGCTGCTGGGGTTTTTTTTTTTTGCATCAAGAGGAAACTAGAGGACATACAAATGGCTTTAAGCAAAATCCAGAAATGCATATATTTATTTTATTTCATGTTGTCTTTATAAAGCGGATCAGAGCTTGATCTAGAAGGGATAGGTGGTTGGGATATTTTCTGACTGTTGAGGTTGATTATTTTAAACATCAGGTGAACAATTAGAATTCATGTTTCCTAGGATTCCATGCTCCAACAATGTCCTGGCCAGTAGCAGGGACCCTCATGATCGAACCAACCGAGTCTGAAGACAAAGCAGAACTAGACAGATTTTGTGATGCCATGATCAGTATTCGACAAGAAGTAGCTGATATAGAAGAAGGAAGGATGGATCCTAGAGTTAACCCCTTAAAGGTAAATTCAGGAGGTTTTTAATTTTGTGAGACTTCTACCAGGTGCTCCTTGTTCACAATTGAAGTAGTTTGACACAAAACATGGGTGAGGGCTCTTTTTCTTTTGTGTGTTCTAAACTATATTTCTTTGACTTAGATGGCCCCACACACTTTAACCTGCCTGGCTGCACCCAACTGGGATCGTCCATATTCTAGGGAAGTGGCTGCTTTTCCACTAGTAAGTAATGAGTTACAATTTCACAAATATATTTTGAACAATTATTTTATTAGAAATGTTCTGGTCAGTTTTTAAAAGCCAACAATACGTTCCATCAGATGTGCCAAAAAACCTCTAGTGGGTATTTGAAAACCAGACAGACCATGTTTAACTTTACTGCATTCAGAGTTTTCTTTGGGGCTGCCATAGAGGAAGAGAATGTGACTTTTTTTCTGTCTTGAAAGACATCCATCATGATCAAGTTTAGCACTACATGAAAAAAATGCAGATACCTTTCTTGCATTTAATATAGCAAATGGTCTGTATATGGGGGAAGTTTCTAAGCCAGAAAAAAACCCAGCAGAACATAATGCAAATTTAACAAAAAAGTATAAAGTAGTTTATTTTTTATGTTTGAGTCTGATCTACTGTGGCTCAGACTGCTGATGCAATGCTGTTCTGAAGCAATGCTCCTATACATACTGGAAAAGTGAAATACTTACTCAAGTATTCTTGAGCCTGCTTAAAGAGAAACAGAAGTAATTCTGTAAATTTTCAGCAGTCTCAGATTTTTTTTCTCAAAACAACTAGCCCTCCTAGCAATGACTTTTCACCTACTGCTTTGGAAACTGTCAAATTCAAAAGCAGTATGTGTCACATTGAAGAGAGGAGGCATTGGATGAAAAGGACTTTGTTTCTACCATAAGAAGTGAAATAAAGTAAAGAAGTAAACTCTGTTTTGTTTTGGCTTTGATTTATTCACATTTCAGTTCTTAAAAGAATATGATAAAACCTTTGTACCAAAAAGAAAATGATATCCAAAGCAAAACAAGGAATATCTATGGAGATTCTCAGTCATTTAAGTCATGGTTGTCCCAAAAGTGCTTTTCAAAAGGCAACCGGTCTTAGTTTTTTCCTTGAAAACATTTCGCTTCTCATCCACGAAGCTTCTTCAATTCTCAATTGAAATTCAGAACTGAAGAAGCTTCTCGGATGTAAAGCAAAACATCTTCAAGGAAAAAACAAAGTCCTGTTGCCTTTTGAAAAGCACCTTTGGGTCAAAACAAGGAACATTTGGTTTAAACCACAGTGGTTGTTCTGACCAAGAGAAGGGCCATAGTTATAATTAGTGGAAGGCCGGTGACATTACAGAAAGATATAGAGACATAGCTTATTGTGGTTGGGGGATGGGGATTTTGAAGGTGTTAAGTGGGAAACCTGCAAGTGGGTCATCAGCCCCATCACTTCCACCCTCCAATACTTCTGAAAAAGCCCAGTGTGAAATTCAACAGCAAAATTGTTATTTTACTAGTGCAACTTGGGATCATTTATGGTGGGTTATAAAAGTTCAAAATGGAAATTTACCTGCAGAGGTTTCCCACTTTCATTTCCCTCCTTATTTTGGAGGACCAACAAAAAAAATGTGCTGCTGCATTTCATTGGCAGAATGTTTGGGTGCTGAGGTGAAAGCGCAGAATGCAGGGTAACCTAATCTGTTTTTAAAGGAGTAGAACAACTTCAAATCTCTCAAACTCCTGGCCTGGTCATTGAATGACTTCCAAAAAGTTGCTTTGGAGAAAAGAAAAAGGATCCAAATAGCATCTTTCCAAATCATGTAGGGCTTACAATAAAAACCTTGCCTTGAAAGCTTTCCTTGATGCATTTTACCACTGATCATTTTTTAATGTACATATACCTATTGTAATTACTAATTTTTGTAGTTTAGATGTTGTACCATATAGCTTTTCTAAATACTCCTTCCTCTTCTTTAGCCATTTGTGAAACCTGAAAGTAAGTTTTGGCCTACAATTGCCAGAATTGATGACATCTATGGGGACCAGCATCTGATCTGTACCTGCCCACCAATGGAGATCTATGAGTCTCCTTTTGCTGAGCAGAAGAGAGCATCGTCTTAGAACCAGCTTCCTTCCACCCTTCGAATTACCTTTCAGATCACTGGGCTTAATTTTTCTCGCTGTATTAGTAGCACTCTGTGAAGACAGGTGAAATCTTCAGCCTGGTTAGCATATTTTATATACAGTGTATATTTTTGAAAACTCCATGCTGTTAATTACATTTCTGTGCAGCTATTTGTAAATACTTTTATTAATTGATTTGATACAATGCCTCGGTTTCCATGTCAATCCATGCTGAAGTGGCCTTGATTAAGCCCCTCTTTTCTATCAGGGCTGCTTTTCTGTGATTTAATAATAAACATTGAACTGTATGAACAAAAGCAATACAGTACACTGTTTGAACAGTGTCATGACTATGCACCTGCTCATCCAAATGCTCTGTGATACAGGATTAACCCCAATTTTTTTAGGACATAGTTTTATAAAGTATTTCCTTTGTATTTGGGCTAAGGTAAAATGGAGTTACTATTCATTTTGTATGAAATGAAGTCATGGACAACCATTAACAGAGTTTGATAGGATCGAATGAGGTGGCTTTTTTAAAAAAAACATGTACCACACACTAGTTAGATTATGGCAATGCATCTTTGTTTATAATTATGTCCTAGAACTGATATTTTTAAAATTTCCTCTTGTTAATGTTCCAATTAAAAACTAGCTGACTTTAGTTTTTGAAGTTTGATTTCAATCTGTTTGGCAAAAAACAGGTCACTTTCTTCAGAATACGGACTATAACGTTAGCCAAGTAGGCAAATGCTCAGCAGCATTTGTGATCTCACACACCCCACCCTAAATGAGGCACTTTGAGAGACTTAGCTAGGGCTCAAATGATTACACTTATGAGAACCAAAGGTTGCCTACAGGATTGCTAGCATTAAGCTTTCTAATACATTTTGTTCTAATACAGGTATTTAAAGGGCACATTGTTTGGCAAATGAGAAAGCCCTGTTCTTTTAGGTTAATCATTGCTGAATATTTCTTAATCAGTCAGCCATTTTCTGTAAAACTGACAACACATTCAGTGCAAGACTTAATTCCCAGTTTCTTTGTCACAGTTCTGTAGACTAGCTTAAGGCATAACCAATGAAAGACACACACACACACACACCCATGCAGATCAGACACACTTCTCAGACTATGACTTCCTATAAATCTTGGTGTAATGTGGTCTGATATGGGACAGTGCTATCACAGTACTTATGAATTCAATCAATTACAATGTTACAGTAATTAAATGCAAATGCAACAATCTGAATTTATTATTTGAAATTAAAGGATGAGAGTACATCCTTTACAGCACACATCAAAAGCACATAACTTTTAAAAGCTATCTCACATTGAACAAAGAGATGCCCACAACTGTCAAAAGAGAATTCCAATTTGAAGACATTGATGGCATGCTGACCACTATAAAAATTGCTTAAAAAGAACCACAAAACACCCCATTTAGTGTGCTGCTTACCACCTCTGGTTTCAGAGAAGCTTGCAGGGATAGGAAATGAATGATAAAGTGTCTCCTACATATGATAATGCTAGCAACAAATTATGGGGAAAAAGTCTCCTTTTAATGCTCCAGTAGACCTGGAGGTTGTAATTTTACAGCAAATGAACTTGGAATAAATTCTGTTACTCTGTAACAAAGCAAACTGTTCTAATGTATCAGAAAAATGTTCAACATTTTATTAGCAGTTAATTAATTAGCACTATTTGGTTATTCTTTTGGCTAAAGGATAGCTAATTTAGGAAACATATACTGGATTTTTTTAAAAAAAAACTTATTCCACCTTTATTATTTTTTAAAATAACTCAAGGTGGCAAATATACCTAATACTCCTTTCTCCTCTTTATTTTCGCCACAACAGCCCTGTGAAATGAGTTGGGCTGAGGGAGACTGGCCCAAAGTCACCCAACCAGCTTTCATGCTTAAGATGGGACTCTGTACATTCTGAAATAGACATGGTAAAGTCTTGCACAAGCCAAAAAGAAGTTGGGCTTTGTTTATGCTTAGTGCTGTGCCTCCTTATGACAGAAAGTAGAAAAGGACAACTGACCTCCTCCCAAAATTATTTTATTTCAGCATTTTTAAAATTCTGAAATCTTGCACGAAAATCCCAACATTTATTTCATCCAAAGGTTCACAAATTTCCAGCCACCTCAAAGGAAGTTATCAAAATTCCAGAAAATTTAACATTTTAAATTTTGTGATAGGAGGCAGCGGAATACTTGGGCCACTGCATACGATTGTTGATTCTTGGCTTACAGTTTAGGTGAACCAGAATACTATAGCTTGTTCAAAAAGTTATTATTTAACATATCAGAAATTGGCCACTGAATATTTTCATATCCTATTAAAATTAACCGTGGTGTGGTTTAAACACAATGCTAACTTACAGTTTTAATATTTATGTGTACGGGACATAAGCTCATGTGTGCTTATGTCCATAATATGTGACTTGGGTTTCAATCAGTTTGTGATTAATATTAACTATCTTTACAAAATAACCAAGGATTATTGATCAGTTTTTCTAAATAAAAGCTGGAGAATTGACTCCAGCAATTTTATTCCTCATCATAGAGATTCAATTGGCGTGACAAATGGGGCTCAGAATCCAGTATATGCAGGGTAGAAGTTTCCAGGGCATGAAAAGATTAACCCTTTATCTAGGCTGAAGATATATTCACTAGCCATGACTTAAAGCCCAAAAGAAGCTTTTAAATCTCACAGCTGTCTCATCACTCAGGAGACTGCTACTGCTGCCAGAGAAGCTAAAACCATTTATGAAACTTTGCTTTCTTATCCTGCTTTAGCTGCAAATTCATAAACTCTTATGACTAAAAAGGCCATTGGCTGACATAGCAAAATCAATATTTGTGTATCTGAGGGAGAAATAGGAAAGTTCTACTTTCAATTTTTATTTAACTAGATACCTATTACTATCACAGCTGAAAAAATCTGGTTTATTTAATCTGTGAATAATTCAAATAAGTCATATATAATTTTTATATTTTTGTTATCCTGGCTGATTGACTTAAGTATAATATAAATCAACCTGAGTTTTGATACAGGCCCAGTTCATCCATAATGATTTCTGTTTTATTTAGTGTTACATGTAAAGTAAGTCACTATGGCTTTAACCTTTTAAGTTAAACATTCTGACAGTGTTACATGTGAATTCAACGCTCATTTTTTAAACTATCCTATTTTAATTCTAATTTCTTTCTGCTAAAGGAAAAAGACTGGAATGTAAACTAAAACTAGTTAAATAATGCTAATCCAATGTTCAGTACCATACCTAAAACAGACTTGAAATCAAAAGGCTTCGGTCTCAATTTATAATACAGCTTCCCCACTCAAACAATGCACAAACAACTATGTATATGTTAAAATAGTATGTAAGTACTCAAACATATCTGTTCTGATATCAGTAGTTATTTGCTATCTATAATCAAAAGTTGATATGAAAATGTAATATCCTCAGAATGAAAGTCTTATAAAAATGTACTTTAAAATATATAACTCTGCAAGGCAAATGCCCAAAGGACTAATGTAAACTTCAGGTTTACTAATCCCATTTATCAAAATATCAAATGGAATTTTATGTAATATATACAAGCACTATTTTAGGAAATTACTTGCTATCATGTTATGGGTGTAAAATGCAAACAATCAACACTTTATGAATCATAAAATATTTAATAAGTATATTCAGGGATGGGGAATATACTGTATATAAAATTTCAGATCACAATATGAAGCAATTTGAGCCCTCTCCAAGCTAGCACTGCTTTCAATGCTGTATAAGATGTATTGCCACTAATACAAGACCTACTAAAAGCAAACAATTTTACCTAATACAAAAGTGGCTTGTTTTATATGAAATAGTTTTTACACAATTCAGAGTGTCTTGAAAACCCTCTTTAAGTGCAAAAAACACAAATCACTTTACATCAACAGCAACAATGCATTCATATTGTTTTCAGTCCTTAGTAGTCAACTTGCAGAAGATACGAGAGCACAATAACGCTCACAAAAATAGACTAAAAGCTTGTTGTTGCAAAAGGAGTAAGAAAGACAGCAGGAGAGGAAATACAATAAAGAATTATGCACACCACAGCATTTGATGTTCTGCAATAAAACTGGCTTTTTACGTGCTGTTTTCTTGTTGCAAAATCAAATTGCATGGACTAGGCAAAACTAATGTTCAGGAGGCAGTGTGTAGCTAAACTTCATTGGATGTGTTGTTAAACTTCCCCCAAATTTGTTTTCTCCATCTGAGGTAGTTATAAAAACAACTGAAGACCTGCTACTACCGTGGCCAGAGCCAAGAAAAGCCTTTATTCCTGCATACAAACTAATGGTCATCTGTCAAAACTACCTTTGTGAAAAGGAAGCTGACAATTTGAAGTTGTTACTACACAACAGATTGCTAAATGGGAAAGAAGGTTGAATTTGCGGCTTCACAATATGATAGTAAATATGAATTCCCTCAAGCTGGCTGGTCCACTGTTTTTCTAGATGGTTTATTCTTTTCATTTATTCAGTCATTTTGAGAATAAGGTTACAAATACATATCATCGTCCTTTGCTATAACCAGGGAAGAACTGGTCAAGTAGCGTCTGCAGTATCTTGTTGGGAACCATGGTGTAGCCCTTCCCAAGGTCATGTCGGCAAGCAGGACAGGTGAAGACTTCAGCTCTGAAAGAGCGCTGTAAACAGCTCTAAAGTCATGGGAAACATACATATGTTAAAATCCAGGTCACAAAACAGATACATTACTTAGAGACTACAGCAATATTCAGATGCAGAATATTCTGTGCTTGAAACAGTTCTGGGCAGGCTATATTTAGATCCAGAATGTGGGTTTGGTGAGCTCATCTTCGCATCTCTCGGCTTGCCTGCGGCCCACATGGCTGGAGCGCCTGCCTTCCCCCCACATTTGCCTCCATCTGATGCCAGTGCCGCCATGCATAGACAAGCCTCCCGCGGCCAGCAGTGACCCGCCTGTCTTCCTCCTTGCACTTCTGCCTCCATCTGCTGCTGATGCCACCATAAAAATGGCCTCCTGCAGCTGCCGCCTCCAGCCCACCAACTCTCAGTTTTCCTGTGACCCACGCGGTGTATCCAGATTGCGTGCCTCCCACCCACGACTGCCTGCTGCTTGGACAGGTAAACAACTCATCTGCTCTTATTTAACAATAATGAATTGAGTAATTTTTAAGTGCTATTTTTAACACTTAAAATTACTCAATTCATTATAACATAAGGTCTGATCAAACTGTCTTGTCCAAAAGAATCTTACATTGCAGTACAATGTTAGATTGTACCATGCCACAAGATTCTTCATTGTTTCATTTGCTGCACTAGGCTAGCACAGCTACACTATGAAACTTATTGCTATAAACCAGGTCATGGATATATCTAATTAATATAATCTTACTGTTTGAACAAAATAATAATATTAACTTGAGGTAACTATTGACTCACTTCATATGCTTACCTTAACAGCAGCACATAATTTTTCTTTCTCCTTTAAAATACTATGGTAGTTTATTTGCTTTTACAAGTTACAGTAGGACAATGTGAAAATGATCCCTGAGACACTTACTTTACAGACATTGTGCAGGCACTCTGTGGTCACTGGCTGGTAAACCAGCTCCTGGCAGCAAACGCACATAAAGGATTGTTCCAGTTTCTTCAAAAAATTCTAGGATACCATAAGGGAAAAATAATTATGTCAAATACTGAAGTGCTCTCAATCTCTTCATAAAATAGTATTGTTTCTATATTAACCCAGACTTCTTTTCAGTCCTGGAATATAGTATTTGAAATATGTTTTCTATTTTAATAAATATACTACATATTAGCCAAATTGTGTTTTCACTTTCTGCAGTTCCTCACGCACTCTGGATGGCGGGGGAACTTTCCAGAAAAGTTGTAGGTAGAACAAAGTCCTTGCTGTTCCAGTGAAAATCCAGTGGCATGACATTAAAAGGAAACAATACAGAACATCGGTTAAAATAAAAAAACACATACTGGTCCTTCTTTAAGAAATTTAAGAACTTCATCCCAAAGTTTCTGGTTTGGAGAATCTTCCTGTATCAACCATTGTTGTTGCTGCGTTAGCTGAAAAGCTTCTCCCTTCCCTCCATCATTCAGCTTCATTGTTTTGGCTGTGTTTGTAGGTTGCTTTATATTGTCTGGAAAAAATGTTATCAAACTACAATTATAAATTTATACTGGCTCCTTCAACTACAGGTAAAGGCTTATTGATTAGATTTACCAGAAAATGTAAAATAACACCAAAACAATCTTAAATTAAAAACTTCATCCAAAACATACATCCTCTGTTGTACTCATGTTTCTGGTTATTTTGAATGTAATATATTATATTCTGAAAATATATCCAGCTTACTTCTTCTAAGGACAACCCAATATTTGCAAAGATAGTTCTAACACAACTAGTGATCTGACACAGCAGCCCCCATTTTGGGCACCAGGGATCAGTTCTGCAGAGAAGAGGCGGTGTCGTTTTGCATGCTGCCTGCATCCCGCAGATGGGGCTTCACTTGTTTACATGGCCCAGTTTCTGGCATGCTGCAGACCAGTATTGGTCCATTGACAGGGAATTGGGGAACCCTGGTCTGACAGAAAGTGTTGTTTTTCTTTTAAAGATTCTTTCACAGAAAAAGTAGAGATTTCCTTTTTTATGAGGGATAAATTTCAAATAGCTCGCCACAAGTAAACCGTATGATATTTGATTCAAATCTTAAATATTTAAAATAAAACTCATTCTTAAAATGCATCAGTTCGTGTAATTACTGCACCAGCAGCGTCCATTTGTAAGGGAAACCCTGGCATCTCTGTCGTAATTTTAAGGTTTGCAGAAGTAAAAGAAAAATCATGCAGGGAATTGCAAGCAATCCAGTGAAGAATGATTGGGCACAGAATGCCAGCTTATTGGAAAATTCAGAGTGAGGAACCAGAGCGAAGTTTCTTAAAATATAATATGGCTAGCAAATTGAAGAGGAACCCTGCATAGGATAACAATTAGCAAGCTACAAACAAACTTTTTTTACAGTGCTAAGACATTGTCCTGACCTGAAAAGAACATGTATTTATTGATCTTTTCTAGTCAAATTATATCTCTGAAATTGAAATGACATTCAGTTTAGTGCTTCTTGGAATAGCAGATCTGTGACCTCAAATTTCTTGCCTTTTTCATTTACCAGAATTTGATGCAATCTAGAACTACCCACTTTCACTGAAACTTGATTCCTAATTAATTTATTTTCATTTGAAGCCATTATTTATAAAGGATTTAACTCTCCTTAAACTCTTTGAAATTCAGAATGCTGAACATTTAGTATATCAACATGGCTTTCTAAGTTCCTTGTCAAAACAGATCAGCATGATTATTCCCAAAGTAAAGGTGAAAACAAATATATCTGAGCAACAATGGCTAATCTATAACTGCTGGAAATAGTGATACCAAATTGGAAATATATTATGGGTGCATTTTAGAATAAATAACTTAAAGATTCTCAACACTGTACATTAAGTACAAGAATCATTTTGGAATGTGATCAATTTTCTATAAACAGAGGCTTCATAAAATGGCTTCTCTCTGAAGGTACTCATTCAGCCCTGCAGTTCACCAGCTAATTGGGAATGAAGAAGTGATGGAACAATAGATAAAACCTAGGTGGAAGATGACTCAGTAGATATCCAACTGAATACAAGGAAGAATCAATATGAAAATGTTAATTTCTTAAAGCTGACAGACATGTTAGATGTTTGATGGGACCCAGAGAAATTATGTTTCAATATGGGTTGAAATATCTTCTCTATCTGATAACTGATGGATTTAAGTTACTAGACATACCATCATTAATTGGTCTTTTCTGATTTCCATTGCTCTGTTCCATTGGTTCCTGTTTCACAGGCTGCTTTTTTACTTTATCTTTCTTGTCTTTATTCGCCATAGCTTCCCAATAGCCTTCTGGGTACTACAAAAGAAGAACATCACATCTGAGCAGTATTTACAGCAATGCCTGCATCAAAACAAGAGCATCTGGAATAGCAGTATTTTCTTAAGATCCATTATTTCAAAGACAACTCCAGAGCTTGAAGGGGAGGAAAAAAATATAATCTGAGTTAACTAATTCACAAAATGCCATCATTCCCTTGAGGCCCAAGATGAATCCTGAGTTTCTAATCAAATTTCTAACTATAACAAATAGATTGGTTGAAATTACCAGGTTTGCCTCTTTAGTAAGAAATCAAGGGGCTGTTTCCATTTTTCTATATTTTATCAACTGATCTAGGAATCCAAATGTTAACAAATGAAGTAAGTACTAGGTTTATCTACTTCAACACATTTTACATTGGGAATGATTCGTGTTTGAAGAATAGTAAGTCACATCTCGGTCTCTGAATTTTCTGAAGAACTAAGAACGCATAATCAATAGTTTCCAAGCCATTTATTGCCAGGGATGGCAGATAGGATAAAGATTTATATACTTTATATACAGTTAAGGAGCAGGAATTTCCTGATGTAAACAGTTTGTTCCCATCTAAAAACCATCTCAAAATATGAAAAAGTGTCCTCAACTATACTGCCAAAATTCAGCTATTTTGTTACTGAATTTCAATCATTATTTTAAAATTATGGGGCCAGAACACAAATGTAGTCCATGTGTAACCTATACGTTGTCACCTCATCATCATCATAAAAACAAGTATGGACTTCTGAACATTATAGAGAAAATATAATCCAAGCCATCTGACATCTTTAAAACAAATCTGAAGGAAATCTTCCAAGAGAGCTTCTGCTGAATATTGACTAGCTTATCTGTTTTAGCAAAACATAAAAATGATGGCAACTTTAATTTCTAACCTGTAAACTCAGGCCCAATTTCTTTGACCGGTCAATTCCTTCTGTAGTCCAAGGTGCAGGTTCAGCATCATCTCTTCTCAGAAGATAGCGCCAAACTAAAAATCCACATTTTCCAATTTCTGGCCAATATTTCACCACCTGAATTATAAAATATAACTAGCTGCTTAGATCAACTTTAAGAAACCATTTAAACACTTGTATCTAAAATGTTTAATCTAAGAAGGATATCATAGAAAATTTCCTAAATTGACAGTACAAAGGTTTTTTGAAAAATCCAGTACATTAAGTAAAATGATAGTGAATGAAGGACGAAACAAAAAACAGTAGAAATAAGATTTAGACTATCGTACTTCAGTATAAATGAATTCATTTATCTGTGATTTTCTTCTTTGCTTAGTTGTGTTTTCAAAGTGGCTAACAAAATTAAAATGCAGGATACAAAATACAAAATTAAAGTATGAAATAATCAAGTATTAAAAACCTGGAGCTGCATCATGAATGCTCTTGTAATATACAGAGAGAATGGGCCAAAAAGAGTACATTCCATTATATGAATGTGGTACAGAAGAGCTTCTGAGTCCGGGGACACACACAAAAAGGCTTCTTCTGCAGATCATAACGTTCCTACAGACTTGTTAGAGAAAAGGCAATTGTTCAGGTAGTCAGGTCCTAAGCTGTGTATTATAGTTTTATTATTTTCTATTTTTTATTAAATTTATAAGCCCACCCACTCTAAAATTTAATAGCAGCACTGTATGTTTCCCATTGTTCCCATATATTTTATTAGTTAAAAGCCCAAGTGCCAACTAAAATTTCCAGATGCTTTTTAAGGATAAATCATAATGACCAAAATGTAGCTAACATATCCTGCCAGTGCAAGTGTAGTGGGCTCTTTATCACAGCTGCAACCTTAATGAATGAGATCTTCTATTTCTGTGGAAAAGGGAGGGATGCAATGTATCCACAACAAGCTAAATTTCAACATCCAAGTATCCAAGACTCAACTAACATAAACTGGATTTCATTTGTTTCTTCATCTGCATTTAGCTCAAACTTCAGCTTTTCTTTGAGGGCAAGCAGTAATCGAACTGGTGTTATCAGCATATTGATGGCATCCCACTCCAAAAGCTGTTTTAAGTAGATACTGAAGAGCATGAGGAACAAGATGGAGTCTCATGGGATGCCATAGATTCATTAGAATGAAGCAGAAGTGCCTCAGCAAAACATCCAAAACTACTGTAAAACAGCCTAGAGAAATTAGAAGGGTCATATGTCCTATACATTTTCCAGCATAGATAATCCACCAAGCCAGTTATAGTCCTGTATTTAAGCTAAAAGTTAAAATTAAGATATCTGGAAGAGTAATAAAATATTTGCCTGGAACCAATGTCCACAATTTACTCAGGAAAACTCTCTAGAAAGAAATAATGAGCAGGTGTAGATTAAGGATCCCAGAAAAGTAACCGGGATATATTTTCCTAATCTCCTTCCTAGCAGAGATCATAGGAAATGCTAGGGAGTTGACATATTACAACCAGATCTAAATCTCAACTTGAAGTGGATTTTGGATCTTTTTCATCCAAGCATATCTTGATATAACAATTTCTCTCTACATATACATTAGTTCTAGGAAAGAAACTTATGCTATCTGAAAAGCAACTTACATACAAAGGCAAGTTGAGGTATTGATCTCAATTTATCTATCTTGCTTCTGATCATCTCCACTGTGTTGTAGTGGACTTCCTAAGCAATGGTATTGTAAAGAAAGAACTTAATATTGACTTCCACAATAAGTAACCTTTGATAACCAGACTGTTTCTCTAAAAAGTATATATCCCACATTTTCTAAGAATCAAAAGGCATTTTTTTTACTGGTAGTGGCAGATTTGATTTTTTGCAAATTAAGATAAATAATAGACAAAGTTAGATGAAGAAGTTTAGAGGGCTTTTTACATAAATTGTCAAAAAGATGCCAACAGCTGAAAACTCTATTTCTAATGCTATAAACAGAAATCCATTTTTTTAAATGCACATATTATTGAATTATATATATATTCAACTTATTATCAATTCTTTCTCTCCCTCCATCACCTCAGATACATTGTGCAAAAGCTGAAATAATAGACAATCAATACAACAGTACAATAAATTGATTTTAACTGAGCATACTTTCTAGAGTGTGTTGAATCAAAAATTGCATGAACAGAAAGCTGTGCACACAAAGGGCTTTCTTTAAACCCTCTATGACAGATCAGAAGGTCACTGAATACCCGAAATGTGCCATTAGTAACATCCAGAAATCACAAAAAATTACAGACATGCACCTTTTAGATTAATATATTTTGCAGTTAAAAAAAAGTACTTTATTATTAATATTTCCCAAGACAAACAGAAGAACAATACTTACCTTGTATATGCCATCATATCTATTGCCTTCCTCTGGTGCGTATTTGCTGATCCTTCGACCTTTTGAACTGCGAACAACTCTAACTGGTTTCCCAGCTCTCCAATTTTTAGACTCGGCTCCATTTTTGTCATCCAATGGAGCATCACAATTTAGAGCCAGGGCCCTGAAAACAATAATTTTTTAAAAGTCTTTCAACACAACAGAATATTTCTTAAAGTATTAGACCATCAGTTAGGATTATCATGACATGCCAAACCATTGCAATTTGATACTCCACAGTCAGCAGAGCATACAGTAGGCTAGTTAAGCATAGAATCACTATTGAGTCAACAGAAGTTTGTTCCTATGGAAACAGTATGCCCATCTTAAGCCTGAATGGATCCTCCTTTTTCTTCCTTCACAAAAACATAAGAGTGCTGCATTCAGGCACTCAAAGCTTCAGCCTCCAGATGGGTGTCTGCAACCTGCGGCTCCGAAGCCGCATGCAGCTCTTTCGTCCCCCTGCTGTGGCTCCCTGTCTGCTGAACCCACCGCTGGCTGGCCCCACCCCACCCCTTGCCCTCCCCTCCCAGTCACTCCTTGCCTGGCCTGAGAAGGGGATGGAGACCCGCTCCATATTCCAGAGCAGGAGTGAAGCACCCCTGTACTTGCCATATCTCACAGGCGGTTCTTCCAGCCCTTGTTGGTGCTACACGCACCTTGGTCACTCGGGGAGATGTGAGACTTGCTCTCTGCCCTGAGACACTGGTCCAGCCCGGCGGTGGCCAATGCTCTGCATTGTAATGGGCTCCAGGAGGAGGAGGGGATACCGTCTCCCCCATTGTGAAGCGCGCTAAATTTAACTGCTGGCAAGGCGTTGTGAGAGCAGTGGGGAGGTTATGGAGGTGGCAACAGCAGCAGCAGCCAACCACTTTTAGAAATGGTTGAAGAGGGAACACACACATGAGACAGAGAGAGAGAGAGACAGAGAGAGAAAGAGAAAGAGAGACAGCGAGAGAGAGATATCTGTGTTTTTGTTTTTTTTATTTGATTTGATTTATGTGCCGCCCTTCTCCGAAGACTCAGGGCGGCTTACAATGCGTTAAGCAATAGCCTTCATACTTTTGTATATTTTATACAAAGTCAGCTTATTGCCCCCACAATCCGGGTCCTCATTTTACCTACCTTAGAAAGGATGGAAGGCTGAGTCAACCTTGAGCCTTGTGAGATTTGAACTTGCAGTAATTGCAGGCAGCTGATGTTAATAACAGTGCTTTAGTCTGCTGTGCTACTAGGGCACAGAAAACACCAGGAGCCACAAAACCTGGGTAAGTGTGGCTGGGGGTGGGGGAGTCATGTGACTGGATGGGACTGAATGATGTCAAGTTGGCCATGCCCACCCAAGTTTTGTGGCTCCCAGTGATTTCTTTTCTGTGGGGAAACGGGTCCAAATGGCACTTTGAGTGTTTAAGGTTGCAGACCCCTGCTCTAGATGCAGGTGTTCCACAATCTGAAGGGCTCCTAACTTTACTCAGCTGTTAAAACTAAATATTAAAGGTCTTCCCCCTCTGTAACCTGTTCCGCTTTATCCTTTCATCAACAAGGTAACAATAAGCAGAAATGTTTCCCCTCTACAGGAAAAGCTGCAATCCACTTTTGCTTAGCATCTTGATTTCTCACAGCACTTTAATTTTCCAAGGGAGCTCTAAGATGCTTTAGCAACCTATAAGAGGCAACAGACTTAGGACGACTACCTGTTTGAAAGTGCAGTTTCTCCTTAAAAATGAATGCTTGCTCCTTAAAAAACAAATAGGAAAATATTTTTAAAAGCACCTGTTCATGTGTGTTAAAGTTTGATCAAATGAATGTTCCCCAATTCTTTTATTGCCAGAAAGATCTCTTCCACCACTCCCAGTGTAAGTAAATTCATCACCTCGGTCCTATATAAGAAGATAAATTATCCTTTAAAATGTCAAATTATGATTGAGGATAGTCTGAAATATACAAGTAGAAGATGAAAATGAGTATATGCAATAACAGCTGTGCATATATAACTATACCAACACTTTATGTGGTGCTGCCACAGATATTTGGGGAGGTGTTTGTATGTTGTTATGTTCATATCTGTTTGCATACAAATGCATCTATCTAAAAACACAAAAAGCATTAACTAAGGACCAATTTACATGTGCTGCAAGAGAATACTGATAACATTCTCATTCTGAGCATAAATTTAATTTTTCAACCCAAATCTTTACATTCCATACTCTCCCATTATATCTGTTCTATATCCAGGATAGATGTGAATGCAGCAAATTTGAATTAGTGGCAAAGAGCTGGATCTAATAACATATTTCTACATGCCAAGATATAGGAAATGCCTCTCTCAGGTCAAGTATATTATCCTCAAATTTCAGGATTAAAAGACCTGCAAAAACTTTCCAAGAACATCATTAATTGGGGGGGGAGGACATCAACATATATCAATGCACCTTTTCCATCTATACTGTAAAAAATAGTGAATATGTCCATAAACTGCTTAAATACTGTATTGTGTTTGTTATTCTAAAAAAAGTTCAACTACTGTACTTGATATATTTTGGCAACACGGTATAGCAAATCCATTCAGAAGAAGGGTGAGTTTGAACAATTTTAAATAGAGTAGAATGGCTTTGAGTGAATTTGGACCTCACAGATATGATAAATTACTAATCTTTCTCTCCCTGGCTATATCCTTTCCACAAGATATAAACTATCCTCCCCTCCAAAATAATTTAATGAAGCACTTAGGATGACTTAAAAGTTTAACTGGTTCAAGGGTGATGAGCATGAATTAAATCTGTTTGAGAGCTATTATTCTTCTGTGGTTGTTTTGGGAAATAAAGAAAAATATTTGAAGGCTTATGCACCTTTCTTTTCCTTTGAAGTATTCTGATTTTTGGCATCAGCTATTCAGTAAAAATGCATTTTACTTTCACATCACCTCAGTAATAACTAAGCAGCATTTAATGGCAAATGATACCAATAAACTAAAAGGAGTCTGTAACAACATTACTAGTATACTGTCTGTATAATTGTAAGCCTAAGGAAATAGGCCTACACAAAACACACAAGTACATTATATCTTCTTGAGCTACTTTGTATACAAACACGAATCATGGATAATAAATAAAAAGAAGCATTAATTAAATATCAAAGCATGCCAGTTAGCACCAATTCAATGCTATCAGGTGTACCTGACTAAATCAACCAAACGTTGTAGCAGTTGATAATCTGGATTTACACAATAAAAAGCTGTTAATAAATTATCTAGTAAATAGAAATGTTTTATAACATTTCATAAGCAACTTATGAAAGCCAAAATGCTAGTAAATGTTCAAAATAAAATTATATGAATGTATTTTTGGTTGCACCACTGAAATACTTTTTTTTTTCATTTGCTAGATACCTTTCCCATCTTTATTTTGTGCAGCTCAAAGTGCTATCTTCAACCCTGGCAACTTTAAGACCTGTGGACATCAACTCCCAGAATTCCCCAGCCAGCCATACTGGCTGAGGAATTCCAGGAGTTGACATCCACAGGTCTTAAAGTTACCAAGATTAAAGACCCCGGTAAATAAAATATTCCCTCCTCCCATTTTCTTCACAAAACAGCACTGCAAAGTACATTGGACTGAGAGAGTATGATTGGCCCAAAATCACCCAACTGCCTTCCTTTTTAAATGTTTTCCCTCTATTGTTACAATTATTGCATAAGCCCTGTACAAAGGTCAGAAATAAAAAATAGAATATCTTGTGTAATAAAAGAATACATTGTAAAAAGAAGTATTCTGTACACTAGTGCCCTTTCCTGCTTCCTTTAATTTCTCTTCCAACATTAACTACTACCTAGATATTCAAACTTTGCTTTACATTTTTACAATTATTGCTCATATTCTGTTTTCCTTTCTATAGTATGACAATGTAACTACAGCTTCATTCTAAGTCTCCAATACTAATCTCTGTTGCCAAAAACAACTCCTAGCAACAGAAAGAAATATCATGTCCTGCCTCTGGCTAAACATCAATTCTGATCTGGCTGGCGAAGGTGAATCATTCGAGCTGTCAGTTTAATAAACCTCTATAATTTTTCTCTCCTTCTCCAGTCAGAATCTCAGTATAGCTGAATGCTGGGACCCACTGTCATTTTGCTAACACAAAAATATATCCATTTTAAACATTAAAAAAACATTTTTACCAGCATGTTTGTATCTTTACATAGGATGAGATAAAACAATCAAATAGAGCATCAATACATAAATTAATCAGAATATAGAACTTACAACTTCATCTTCAAATCCTCCAGCCAACACAAGAGAGTACGCTCCATCGTTACTACGTCCATGGATTCCACCAACATGAGGTCTATGAACACCTGCTTCACTCACCTTTAAAATAAACAAGTTTAAAATATGTTCCTATTTTTAATAGCATAAGTAAAATATCAGTGCATCTAATTAAAATACTTTAATCTTGTTTTCCTGAACAAATATACTCAAAAGCTATTGAATTGTACTCAAAACACTTCCCAGTTTCAAAAATATTTTGTCATATATTATAATGCTGACATTTTTTAAAAGGTAAATTTAAAACCTGAGTCCATAGAGCAGTAAATGTATTTTTGGCAATTATCCAAGACGAAAGTTTATCTTACAATAAAGATATTAACCCAGCATCACAAAAGATTACCTTATACTAATATACTGATGGGTTCCTGTCAATAAATCCGAAATCACAATGGGAAAAATTCAAAAGCAGCTACTACTACAATGTAAGAATTAACTGGCCTCAAATACGACATGAAAACCCAAGTAATGATTTATGCACTCATGCAAATGACACAATGGTGAAACAAGAGTAGAAACCAATAGATAGAAAATATATCTACATACCTGCACTCTAAATTTCCATGTTGCTCCAACAGGAACACCAGGTATAGGTCCATAATGGTTAGAAGGAACAATAGTGCATTCCTTAGTACGGCCAACACAGGCCATGCCCTACCATCATCAGGAGAACAAAGCAAGCAATTAATCATAGTAATTGTGAACATTTATGAACAAATACGGGTTTAAGCAATGTTTTAGTTTACAGCTTATTGAGATAAGGGTATTCAAGAGCTGTTTTGAAACCAGACTGTTGATCAAAAAAAAAAAAAAGAAAGAAAAGAAAGAAAAATGATCGGGGAGTTAAAGTTTTTTTTTCTTTCTATATGTTTGTTAGATGCTATATCCTTTATTTGCTCTGGGAAGTCCGGGGGGGTGGGGGGTCAGGGGAGGAGGGAAGGAAAAACATGTGTAAAGAATCTGGAGAGGTTCTTGGAGTTTACATAACTGTTTTTTTTTTAAAAAAAGAGGTTGTTAATTTGTAAATGTGATTGTACAATCCATATATGGAAAGATGGCAAACAGTTTACATTTTTCTTGTAAAAATGTTTTTTCTCTTGTAAAACTCTTTAATAAAAAAAAAATGATCGCAGTTGACTTTGCTCATTTCTTTGGAGAACAGCTACTATGAATTATACATAAAATCAGCAAACTTCCCTATTAGCAGCACATAAAAGATAGCATGAAAATTAAATTGTTTATCAGAACGGCTGTCGTTATTCAGCATAATCACAAGACTTTATGCCTTATTATCACTGAGTGAGGGTGGTCCTGGCCCAATCATTATTGATAAATGTGGACTACTACCGTATTTTTCAGAGTATAAGACACACTTTTTTCCCTCCTAAAAGAGGCTGAAAATTTGGGTGCTTCTTATATTCTGAATGTAGCTTTTTCAAAGCTTTTTTTCAGTCCTAACGAGGCGCTAGCGAGTGAAGCAATCTCTGCACTTTGTGCTTTGCCTGCTCCCTCCCTATGAAGCTTTTTTACAGCCCTAACGAGGTGCTAGCGAGTGAAGAGCTTTGCCTGCTCCCACCGACTCTCAGCTGTGAAGTTTTTTTTCAGCCCTAACGAGGTGCTAGCGAGTGAAGGATCTCCGTGGTTTGCCTGCTTTTCTAATTGTTTCTCTCTCCAAAGATCAGTTGTGTTTTAGAAGCTGCTTTTTATCCCCAAGCAGGGGATAAAAACCAGCAAACTAATGTGCTGAAGCTGACCAGACTAAGGATGCTAGCCAGATAAATACCTGGTAAGAAAATTTTCTTTTCCTATTTTCCTCCCCAAAAACTAAGCTGCGTCTTATACTCCAGTGCGTCATATACTCCGAAAAATAAGTTTATTAAATTGCGTCCAAAAACTGACTAGAACCCAGTTAAGAATTTAAATCAAATATTATCCATCTTCACTGTTGTATTTTCAACTAACTGAATATCTGAAATATTCTTTTTCAAAATCATTCACATACAAAGCATTGCAATATTCATGTTTGAGAAATAAACTAAATAATACAATAATAATATGCTAAAATAGTCAAAACATCTATTTTCATGTAATTGGAACTGTAAATGACATAGTAATCTAAAATAATCAAAAGCTATTGTAAATAATTTGGGGTTCTTTGACATAAATAAATAAAATAAAATAAATAATAGCCAGCAACCAGATTTTTTAAATGATTATAGTTACTTTTAAAAACTACTCTAAAATAACAAACTTCATTTGACTTTGCTAGCAAAATGGAAGGGAATAGGTGTTGGTCCTACCTGAATACCATTTCTAGTAGAGCTGGAAGAGAGCATTCAGAGTGGGTAGTAGCTCTATGTTCTGCATGTAGACTGAGCACGTGATCTTCATTTGCATTCCTGGTCACTCCCTCGCCTGGTGCTTCCCCAGTTTGGCAAAGGTCAAATGATGCATAGACTTGTGTCCTGTAAAAGAGGAGCCCCCCCAGACTGTGGACCAGAGCTTAGTAAGGGTGAGGCTGGATGCTCTCTTCCAGCTCTACTAGAAATGACGTTCAGGTAGGACCAACGCCCATTCTCCCTAGAGCTGGATCAAGAGCATCCAGAGTGGGACATACCAAAGCCAGCCTGTCTCTTTAATGGGTGGGTAGCGTCTGGTCCTACATCCCCCCAGTGTTATGGACCTTCTCAATGACCCTCCTCCCAAAGGCCACTTCCGCTGAAGCGAAGGTGTCCAACTTATAATGCCGAATGAATGGTGGGGGGGAAGGACCATGTGGCCGTTTGACACACCTCAACAGAGGCCTGTGTCACCCATGCCGCTGTGGTAGCCACACTCCTGGTTGAGTGGACCCTTATTCAGCTGGGAGTTGGGAGGGCCTGTACCTCAAACGCCTTGGCTATGCAGGCCCTCAACCACCGACCCACCGTTGCAGGAGTGACCTTGTTGTCTAATGTTGATGGTTGGAATGAAAGAAATAATGATTCTGTCCATCAGAATGAAGCCATATGTTTGATATAAATATGGAGGGCCCTTCTGACATCCAAGGCATGCAACCTGTGTTCAAGGGCCTGTCGACGCTCCAGGCAAAAGTTTGGTAGGACCAACTCCTGCGCCCTGTGAAACCAAGTGTTAACTTGGGTATGAAAGAAGAGTCCAGCCACAGTACGACCCTGTCCTGGTGAAAGATGCATAAGTCCTGTCTTATTGATAAGGTAACCAGTTCTGAGATCCTGCAGGCTGAGGTGATGGCAATGAGGAACGCCACCTTGAGTGCTAGAAAATGCAGTGTGGCTGACCATAAAGGTTCAAAGGGGCTGCCAGTGAGGGCTTGCAGGACCTTAGTCAGATCCCAGATGGGATACCTATGGACTGGAGGGCACAAATTAGTGCCCCCCCCCAAGAAATCTGCATACCGTGGGATGTCTAGAAAGTGATTCCCGTGTTCCTAGGGATACAACAGAAGACAACGCTGCAACCTGTCTTTTGATGGTGTTGGGTGTCAACCCTTTATCTAACCCCTCCTGGAGCAACTCCAGGACCTGGGCCACTGAGGCTCTCGATGGATCAATTTGTAGTCTGGAGCACCATATGCAGAAAGACCACCAGGTTGTGTTGTGTATTCTAGATGTGGATTGTCATCTGGATGCCTGAATGATGTGAATAACCCTGGGAGAGAAATGTTTGTTCCTCAGGGCCCGCCACTCAATCGCCAGGTGGTCAGTTATAGCCATTGGGGTTGTGGGTGGATCAAGGCCCCTTGACTTAGATGGATTCTGTCATCCAGAATTCTCCAAGGCCGTTCTACCGATAGACTCATCAGATCAGCGAACCAGGGCCTCCTGGGCCAATGAGGAGCCAGGATGATCACCTCCATCTTTTCCTCCAACAGCTTCCTGGTGAATGCTGGAATCAGGGGAAGAGGAGGAAAGGCGTACAGAAGACGTGGAGGCCAAGGGGAACAGAAGGCATCTAGCCCTTCTGCTCCCTGTGTCCGGTATCTGCTAAAGAAGCTAGAAAGCTGGGAATTTTCCTGGAATGCAAACAGATCCAGGACCAGAGTCCCGTATTGATCCGATAGTTGTTGAAACAGCGAGGGATGTAACCGCCATTCCGCTTGATCCACTGTCTCCCTGCTGAGCCTGTCTGCCTGTACATTCAGAACCCCTGAGATGTGCTCGGCCTTCAATGACAGAAGGTGCCGCTCTGCCCAGAGACCCAGCTGACCTGCTTCTGCCTTGAGGGACCTGGAATGTGTCCCTCCTCGACGGTTGATGTGTGCTTTGGCTGTCACATTGTCTGTTAGGACTAACACGTGGCGACCAGAGATTGAGCCCGCGAAGGCTTTGAGAGCCAGATGAACCGCTCTGAGCTCCAGCCAATTGATCCTGTGGGTCAGGTCCCCTTGGGTCCACCTGCCCTGGGCTAGCATCTTTTGGCTGTGTGCTCCCCAACCGAAGAGGCTAGCGTAGGTCGTGATGGTGACTCGGACGGGTTCCTTAAACAGGCAACCCTTGTGGAGTGCTGTTGATGCCCACCACTGTAAGGAACGCCGCACATTTGATGGGAGTCTTACCTTGTCCTGAGTGTTGCTCCTGCCCGATCTTTGAAATGGCAATAGGAGCCATTGCAGTGTCCTGGCATGTAGTCGCGCCCATGGAACTATGGTGATGCATGACATCATTTTGCCAAGGAGCTGCGACAGGAGTGATAGAGGAACTGTCCTCATGGCCATAATGTTCTTGACTAGATGTTGTACACTGTCGTGCCTCTCCGGAGAGAGGGAGACTTGGCATGTTGTCGTATCTATTAGGGCTCCCAGATGGAGCAGATTGGTCATTGGAGAAAGGTGACTTCCTGTGGTTTATGGAGAAACCACGGTCCTGGACAGTTCTTATTGTGCGGTGCATAGATCCCTCTCCGCCTGATTGGCCGAAGAGGACTGGACTAAAATGTTGTCCAAATAGCATTGGACTCTTATTGGGACCGAGCGCAGATGGTCCATCAGAGCTGCCAAAATCTTTGTGAAGGCTCTTGGTGCTGATGAGAGGCCGAAGGGCATAGCCCTGTACTGATAATGTCTGTCTGAATAGGCAAAAGGAACTGTCTGTGTGCTGGTTTGATCAGAACATGAAGGTATGCTTCTGTTAAGTCTATTGAGGAGAGGAAGTCGCCCTCCTGCGTGCTATCTAGTATTGATTTGAGAGACTGCATTTTGAATTGTTTGAACTCCAGACACTGGTTCAGGTGCTTTAAATCTAAAATTGCCCTCCATCCCCCCAAATTCTTTTGGATCACAAATAGGATCAAATAGAATCCCTGTCTGTGCTGTTCTAGGGGAACTGGCTCAATCGCCTGGATTTCCAGCAAATGCTGGATTGCTTTCTCCATCAGGCGCAGCCTGGAAGAGTCCCTGGATATAGGGCAACTGAGAAAGAAGGTTGGGGGGAGAGAAATTCCAGCGCCAATCCTGATCTTATTGTGTTTAGAACCCATGTGTCTGAAGGTGTGGCCTCCCACTGTTGGAAATGGAGGCTGAGCCGACCAGTTATGAGTGGTGCGGTCCTGAGTCACTTTGCACGGTGGTAAGGACTTCCTGCCCCTTGAAAGGGCCGCTTGTCCTGAGGTTGATTTCGGCTCCTGAAGCCTGATCTGTCAGGTTGTCTCTTCTGTCGGTTAGGGTACTGTCATTGAAAGTGTTGATCGTCAGGGATCTGAAAGGACCGTTTCCTATAATAAGGGAAAGATCTGGGTTCCCCCTGTCGATAAAGGAAAGGCATGGCTTTGCCCTTGCCTCTGGTGTCCACTAGGATGGGATCCAGACTTTCTCCAAATAATTTGTCACCCGTAAAGGGAGTTGAGGCTAATTTCCATTTGTTTTTATTGTCGGCCTGCCAGTGTTTAAGCCAGAACAGGTGATGAGTGGCAATTGATGATGCTATGGACCGTGAAGCGAACTTAGCCGCATTCAATGTTGCATCAGCTGAGAACTCAGCAGCCGCAATTAATTTATTTATATCTTGGTGTACAGATCTTCTGGTGGAATGCATTCCTGCAGCTGGCGAAGCCAGACCAAGGAGGCGCAATTAAAGAATGAAGCCGAAGTGGCAGGCTTTACTGCCCAAGCAGCCGTCTGATGGGACTTACGAAATGACACCTCAGTTTTCTTGTCATCAGGTCTCAGACAGTCCATTGCATCTGTTGGAATCAGAGCAACCGATGTCAGTGCTGCCACTGGCTTGTCCACCGTGGGTACCTGCAAAATGTCAGCCAAATCTGGAGCTATATTGTATAGCTTTTGTTCAGTTCTGGAAGAGGGTAGTCCTGCCCCTGGATTATGCCATTGCCGTTTAACTATGTCTAAAAATAGTTTGGGCGATGGTACCACCTCAGCCTCAACTGCTGGCTCTGTAAAGAGCAAATGACCAGAACCCCCTGGGTTGGGGTCAGGTTCTGTGATTGTCTCAGACTCCATGCTTGTAATGGATATGGCTTTGCGAAGCAAGGGTTTTAAAAGATCCAGCTTGAAAAGGCCTGTAAAGGGGGAAGGTTCTGAATCTTTCCCTTCATCCTCAGAAAGGGCCATCAGGTCCTTTTCCTCAGCCAAGGAGTCTCCACTTCTAATTGAATGAGCCACAGATGGAATACTTTGAGGCACTATCCAATTCTCTTGCAGATTAGATTGCAAGCCTGGAGGCTGATGGATTGGAACCCCTGGAGAAGGTTGGTCCCTTTGTTGTAAACCAATAGCTATTCCTTGAGTAATAGTCTTAGAAATCAGTTGCTGCAACTGTGCAGGCATTGCTAACATAGTTTCTTCCTGTGGGTGGATCCCCGCTGCAGTCGGAGTAAAGGAAGTCCTGGGGCCTGAGGTGGATAACTGTGGAAACATTGTTGCAGGCAAATTGGGATTTGCAAATGCAAAGGCCTCTGCCCTATCCAAAACCTCTCCTAAGGTAGGAGAGGAGGGCTCCCTGGCGCCCTCTGGCAACCAGACCTCATAAGAGGCAGGCTGCAATTGAGCTGGATCATTTGTGGGATCCAATGGCTCCTGAGGGCGGAAAAATTCTGTCCCTCCTCTGGGGTTTTCACTTCACTCCTGGCTTTCTTTAGCCTTCTGGAGCTTAGCCAACTCTCTTTCCAAGGCCTTTTGACACCTTTCTGCATCTTTTTCGGCCAATTTGGAGCTCTTCTTGCCACTTGAAGTGGCTGCCTGGTAGTTGCCCCTTTGGCTGAAGCTCTCTGGCTGTAAGCCCCTTGTTTTTGGCCCGGGAAGGAAGTAGGGCACGCCCTCTTGTCCCCTTTCTGAGCCTGCTGGCTGGTGGAAGGCGTACGCGACGCCATTACCCCCGTTTAATAAAGGCAAGCCGCTTGCGAAGAGCTGAGGCTGCTGCGGCTCTAATTAGCATTCCCACGCACTCCCGCCGCTTCACAGTGTGCCCAAGCAGTCTGGGCAGGGATTGATTCCTCCTCCGCTGTCTGGCAGGAATGCCTGGCCCCCCGGCTCTGATTGATGCCACTGAGGCCCTACCGCTGCCGTGTGGTGGCGGAGACTTCGGCTTTGAAGCCGGAACGAGACCGCTAGCCAGGACACCAGCTAGCGGTCTGATCACTGAAGCGATCTTCCAATTAATTATTATTGTCAATCTCACGATTAGATGATCACAGAAAAAAAAGGCGAAGCCGCTCTTCGATCACATCTGTTTGCAATGCAGATTGAGCTGAACTGGGGAAGCACCAGGTGAGGGAGGAGTGACCAGGAATGCAAATGAAGATCACGTGCTCAGTCTACATGCAGAACATAGAGCTACTACCCATTCTGGATGCTCTCGATCCAGCTCTAGGGAGAAAAAAAGCAGACTCTAAAGCATCATTAGTTTCAACTCCTATTCATGATTTCAATTCCATACTATGTTTACTAAAAATTATATTTTAGTATGATGTTTAAACTGAATCAAAAATGTTATGTTTGAGATGGGTGAAGTAGCAGCTAATAGTGACTTCAGGTAACTTGTCTTGAGTTTTTGTTTCTGGGGTTTATTTTATGTGGGAATTACATTTCATACTTGGATTATGAAGCTATGGAAGACATTAAGAAACAGTTATTTTTTAAAACATTTTTTAGATTCTTGAAACTGTTTGAAGTTTGTAAGTGAGGAAATAAATAAATGTTTAGAGAGAATACATACAAAGGTATCTAAATGTTATTTACCTTGCCCCAATCACGTTGGCTGTCAGTGTAGGCAGATGGCATCTTTGCTTTCTTTTTGCTTTGTTTGAGTTTTTCCCCAGCTTTTACAACTTCGTTAGAATCATTTTTACAGGAAGGACAATACCTAGAATATTAATTATTTTAAAATCTATTAAACTATAAATAAAATACAAATAATGCCAATATATGAATTTTATGCAATATGCATCTGAAACACAACCCCTTGTGGGTTTATATTTCATGTTTACATTTCTTAAAACTTCTTGTAAACCCCTTTCTTCTTTTAATGCTATGGTTATTGTTTATTTATTGCATTTTTCGTTCATGGTGGCTATAATTTTATCACCATAGTAGCATGTAACAGAGATTAGATTTGCAAATTGACTCAAAATCATCCAGCAAACTTCATAACTAATTAAACCTCCAACGATTCAGTTCAAGAACTACAGTAGATAATTTGGCTTATGATGACAGTTGGGACTGGAATTTCTACCACTAACTGATGCAGTCATAAAGAGTGACCAGATCACTTAATGTTGGCAATATCGCCAGTGTCTGTTGCCTTCATTAACTGAAGCCTACGGTTCTTACATGAGGGAACTTCCTGCTGGCTTCCATAACCAAAGTCAGTGAGGAAGCCAACGAAAAGTTGCAAGTCCTAGACTGGCAGCCAGGTAGGTGGCTAATAGCAATAGCACTTAGACTTATATACTGCTTCACAGTGCAAACTTATCCCAGTGACTTGCGACCTTCCTGACAGATTCCCCACTGACTTTCTGGGGAAGCTGCTAGAGTAGGTAACAGATGGCAACCATGTGATCATGGGGCACTGCAACCTGTCATTCATGCAAACTTGTTGCCAAGCACCTAGACTGCAATCATGTCATCACAGGGGAGCATTTCCTCCAATATATTAGGTGGGGCTGTTCTTCTAATCATACCATATATTTCTCCCAAAATATTGTATGAGGGGTTTGATCTTGAAATAAACAGGGCAAAATTAGACATAATTCGCTGCTTCTCTCTTGGCTTTAAACTTGGATTTGACACTGTGTTCTATAAAATGCAAAATTAAACCATGATCCCATGTTATTATCATTACAGCATGTAAGAAAAAAAAACAAATTAGGACAAGTCTGATATATTTCTCCAATGTAGGAATTATATGAGGGAAGCTGTGATAATTACTCTCTCCTGCAGCTGCAGGTTTAGGATAAGCATCTGAATATCACATTTGGTAGCAGCTGGCTAAGTGAACAATATAACAATTACACTGTCCAAGATAATTAAGCCTTGATTTTGAGCAAGAACTGTTAAATGATAGTTACCCTAATAGGCAGGTTTTATGCTCAACAACTCCTGGATATTCTCTACAATAAGCAGAAGAACAAAAAAAACTACTATCTCAGCAAATACTTGCAAAATTCTTCATTCTACAAAAATTGTATGATATTCCAAATTTAGCTTCTAAAGACTGTAATTCCTAAAAGACTACAATTATTTTGAATTTCTGAACATTTGGAATGAACTGCAAACAATCTCCTGGTAAACACAGTTTCTATTTGGTTCCTGTCAGAAGTAGCTAAGTAAATCACAGAGCTGAAGGTTATGAACAAACGAACTCTTTCAATTCTGAGTAGAATTGCTTTACAACAGGGTAAAGCAAAGATTTGAATTTTCACATCTATAAATTACAAGAAACAGGAGCAATCAACTTACTATACAATAAGCTTATGGTTACTATACAATGGTTTCAATATCTAATATCACAAACAAGATGAACTCCAAAAATTTCTGAAGCTAAAAGCTTAAACGTTTATAAATGAGGGTTTCATCTGGTGTTTAAAGTGTATAGGAAAAATGATTTTTCCCATTCTTTTAGCACTAGAAACACTATTAGAAATAACAGCCTCTATGAATTTTAATTGTGTCTGTTTGTCTGTCTGTCTGTGTCTCTGTCTGTCTGCCACTCTGTGTGTGTGTGTGTGTGTGTGTGTGTGTGTGTGTGTGTGTTTCTTACCAGTCCTCATCTTCTGGTATTTTGCTTAGTGGTGGGTTCAGGCAATATATGTGGTAAGCCATATTACACTCATCACAGAGAAGTTGCATGTGTGCATCCTGTTTTCCCCCACATAAATAACAAGAACAAAATCGGCATTCTTTATCTGGGTCAGCTCTGCAATGTTTACATTCAGGACCACTCTTCCCTGCAAAGAAGAAAAGAAAGAAAGAGCAAAGGAAATAAGATGATTAAAAAGGGTCTTGAACACCAGCTGCACAGAAAATTAATTATATAAACCAACAAATATTGAAAATATTAATACACATGTATGAGTCCAGATTCTTAAAATCTTTTTTGCTTCTGAAAAAGCAAATACAATGATTCCCTAGCTTGGCTTCCTGTGGTGACAGCCACCAGGAAAACAAATTTAAAAGCAAGCAATTGCAAGCTACCACACAGTCATTCATTCAAGATCATGAACTATGAAGTGTTTACCATTTGTTACTGGACAGAATACATTTGCGCAGAGAGATGGATCACACATTTTTAATGTCTTGATGCACATAAATACAAAGTCAGACAAAAAGTTATCATATTGCTAAAAATGCATATTGTCTTACTAATTTCCTGTAGAAAATGCCTGTAGAAAAATTTTAAACTACAGGGACACATGGTCCAATATATATAAAGCAAGCAAAGAACCCAGGCTTCTGTAGAGATGAAAAATCAATACTGGAAGACTAGGTAAAACTTGCCTTCCAGTAAGGGATCTTGATAACTTATGACAATTGGATCTGTAAACCTGTAAACATGGCAGAGAAGTGTTAGTCACTAGACTGCTGCTGGTGCATAACTGCTTCTTTAGGTGGCAATTCAGTTCAGCCATCTGAATTCCTTGCATTTGTGGTTTTATACTGGGGAAGAAAGAATATCTTCCTCTTGATTTCAACCAGTATCTGGTCTAAGGAGACACTAAAAGGCCTCTTTCTTTGAAGTAACTGGAAGATAATACTGACTTAGGAGGCACCAAGATAGAAACCAGGAGACTGTTGAGTTCTAATCCTGAAAGCTGGCTAGGTAACTTTGGATCACTCTCTCTGCTCAGTCTGACTCACCTCACAAGGTTGATGTGGGGAAAATAGGAGAAGAATATTAGGTATTTATTATTATTAGATTTTTATCCCACCTTTATTTTTTTATATAAATAATTTGAGGCAACCAACATACCTAATCTTTGCTCCTCGTTTTTCCCACAACAAGCCTGTGAATGGGTTGGGCTGAGACAAAATGTCTGGCCCAAAGTCCCCCAGCCACCTTTTATGCCTAAAGTGGGACTAGAAATCACAGTCTCCTCTTGATTTGCCTGATGCTTTAACCACCAGACCAAACGGATTCCTTTGAAGCTGCTGCCTGGAAAGTCAAATCACATTGAAGTTCCTGGTAGACAGTTTTTCATCTATCTAAAATCTGTTTCCTTCCTCACTAAGGACCTGGGGAAAAGATGGTTCTTTGGGCAAGTGGAAGAGAGCTACTCGGGCTCTTGATTATGTCTCCTAGAAAAACGTCTGTTGAAGAAAGGCTGCCCAAGCCATCTGAGCATTCTTTCAATATGTCCTCTTCCTCCTATAATTTCTTTTCTTTCCTATAAATTCAATCAAGCAGTAATTTACTACAGTAATCAGGACTGAAGAAAGGTCGTTAAGATTACTGTCTAGTGCCACCTTGGGCCTATAAAAGACAATTATTAGCAAAAGAGGTTGGCTGAATAAGCAGAGTTTAAATATATGGCAGTGACAGTATAAATGTGCAAACCTTTGCAGACAATAAATCATTGTTTTTTGATTTTCTCTACATATATCTTTCTCTACAAATATCTAAAATCACACTGTAATATAAAGTTATTTCTATGAATTGTATATGTATTTGAACAATATATTAATCAAATATATTTCTTTTAATATGTTTAAAATACTATTCAAAAATGGGAAACCTTTCATAGGCAGACCTACTTTTGAACTCTCCATCTGCAAATGTCAATGGATATGCTCCTGGTTTTTCAATCTTGTATATTTCTTCTATAAAACGTAGTTTGCAATCATTTATTACATCTTCTGGGCCCCTGAAAATTAAAATATTCAACTCAATTTCTCTCCATCTAATTTTAATGCTATCCAATTGAATACAACATGAAATTACTGTGCAAGTATACATTATATGCTTGAATAAGATTCACGGACTAAACTAAAAACTAAATAAAAGCATGCTTCAAACTCAATTCTGAAATAGCAATATTATTATATTAATCCAGAAAATATTCACTAATATTCAGAGAAAAGCAAATAATGCATGTACTTGAAATATCATACTATAACATTAACAATTTACATATTAATAACTATATTAAGAAAAAAATCACAAATAGCCAATACTATCAACCAATAAAGGCACAACCAACCTAAATTTTATTTTCATTTTGCCATATATATTTAATGATCAATAAAGAAATAAATACAACCATGGAAAGCACTTTCAAATAAACTCATATGATGCCAATAGAAATGGAACCAAGTAAAGAAGGATACTAATATCCTTCAGGGCATATATTTTTAAAGAGCCAAGAATAAAACATATTTAGAAATCAGGGGAAATCAAAGAAAAAAGATTAAGGAAACAAGATGTTAACTGATCGGCTGACATCTAAATCAGAACCGTGAAATTAAACGACGAAGATTTATAGTGATTTATAGTGAACAAGCAAAATATGTTCATTTATTTCAGTGTAATTAAATGGACAAGCATATTCAACTCTAGCAGGAAATACTCTTTTTATATTTTCAGAACATAATACTGGAGAGTAGTTTAATTAATGAAATATAACTTCTAGTTAGCCTTCCTGTCACTATATAATATTGCAAGAGTTCCATACAGAGAAACATAAGGTTAACAATCTAACTTGCTTAATTTTTCATCTTCAAAACTCAATGTTTTGTTGAAAACAAAGCAAAAAACAAAACAAGAGTCCCCTGCATTAATCACATCCCTTCACATATATTCCTTATTAGTATCTTATGCTGCTTTATGGGCAAAGCTACATATTCAAATCTAGTTTTTATCATGAATTGCCACACATTACTTAAAACAGATTGCCAGCAATAAAATTTGCCTAAATTTGAAATATACTTCATACTTTTCCTTATGAAATACCTGTAATGGCTTCATCATTTAGCGTTTTTTAATGATTGAAATAGTAACTGTAAATGATTTCTTTTACTTTATTTATTCATTTATTTCATATAGCTGCTCACCTGCAAATTGAAGCATCAATTAGGTGGGCAAAAATGACAAGTAAATACATCAAGATTTATAATATAACTCAAATGTAAATTGCTTTTAGATTTTCTTCAGTATTACCAAGCATTAGCTTTATACACTTCCGGGAACAAAGGACTGGAGGTGTTTCCATGAAGAAAACTTATGAAGAACTTCATCTTTTCTAATGTATTCAGAGAGATACTCAGAGTCTTCTGATGTAAGAGAAAATAAATTATTTAAGGTTTAACTGTGCTGCTTTTCCCTATTATCCATTTTTTTGCAAATGTGTTCATATTTATTATTCTTTCTGATTTTACAGCAGGGCTCTTCTCTTTCAGGATATTGGCAGTCCTCTGCTACCACAATGAAAATAGTATATTGCCAAAATATTTCATTCCGCAGGATTATGAGAAATGCTGAAATAAGCGTAATCTGAGGGAAAGACAACTAATGAGCTGGTGACTTGTTTCAGCTGTCTCAAAAGCTTGTTGCAAAGTGGAAAAAACATTTAAGTTGAGGAGAAAGGGGAAGAGCACATACATCCACCACCTCCTCTTGTCTCTTGTCCAAACATAACATTGCTCTGCTAATTCAGCCACTTTTTTCTGTGCTGAGTAATTTCTCTTTTCTCGCCAAGTTCAATTCTGAGACCTAAGTCTACTTCGCATTTGGGAACACTGATTAACTATATAAAAAGAGAATGCTTCCTTCTGGAAGGCAAAAATTACCACAGTGAAGTATCCATTTGCATACTCTTTTATTTCCAAAAAGCCAAAATGACCTGGCAAATCAGAAGCATAACATGGTTGAAATGTTGCTTCTTGCTATGTCCCTGAAAGACAGAAATCACTACAATACTGTCATATTTCTGGTGTATCGTTTCCTTTTGTAATTTCGTATTTCTAAAAACCAAAATCTAAGCATCTTAATTTCTATGTAAATTGAATTAATGTGTCCATGGTGCTACAAAACCAGACCTATAGTTATGAAAAAAAAAATAGGCTATGATTTATGTTCAGTAAGCCAATCATGTAAGTAATGTATGCAATGTAAAGTAAGCCAATAATGAGCTCAACAGAATTTTCTGCTGAGCAGATTTCTCCAGAATTGTAGTTTATGTATTTCAAACAATGGTTCGAAAGAGAACAACGTGAGTGAAAGCATGATATAGTAGTTAAGGTGTTGACCCAGAGGCAGAAAGACCCAGGTTTTAGTCCACTCCCAGCCACAGAGATGCATTGGATGACTTTGGGCAAGTGACTCTCTCGTTATCCAATGTACCTCAAAAGTTATTGTTCTGGGGAAAAAAATGGGAGGATAGAGCACTATGTATGCTGTCTTGAGTTCCAAAATGAAAGTAGGGATATAAATCTAATATTAGAAAGACAGAGCAGTATTGTGTTTAACTTCTTACTATAAAAAAAAATAACATTGAAAGAAATTACAGGTTTTGTGCTATACTGAAAGGTTTTATTTACAGAATATACATTTTATTAAAAATGTAGATAGACTGCAATATCAATCAATAAAATCTTACCCCAGCATAATTTTGGCATAGGCCTCTTTGTTAGTCCTTGAAATTTCCCTCAAAGAGGTAATTTCTGCATCAAACCAGAATCCTCTTTCTTCTGGGCTCTCTACGTTGTAATTAACCATCACCTTATCACCTACATGTAATTCATTCCACTTCAAAATAGTTCTTGCTCGAGGCCGCAGATTACGGACAATCATTTCCACAATGCCACTTTCTGGGTATCTTGAAGAAAGAATGAAAACAAAAGTTGTAATAACCTCAATATCATAATGCGATTTCTTAGCCATCTATATAATACAAGAGTATAACACCCTTACAAATCAAGTCCATAATGTATGGGAACCTGCTTTGAAATACAGCAGAATTTTACTGTCAATGTGAAAAGTGTTCCCTAAAGACCATTAATGCAAATGAAGGATTGTGAAGATGCTTAAAGAATCTCTCAGTGGTGGTTTTATATTTAAAAATTATGAGACACACTGATGGGACTGAACTGGCTTTTAACTATAACACGTAATATAAATATCACTGGGACATCAATATAACTCATTGACAGAAAAATGCTTTTATTTTCTCAATGTGACTATAAAGAAGTGAGCATAAATCTGAATAACTATCTTATTTTGAGATACATAGAAGAACAATAGATTCACTCCAGTTCTAAAAATGTAATTGTAAATAACCCTACTAATTTCAGTAAAACATAAGATTTAGAATTTCAGCGTTGTTTCAGTTTCCATAAATTATGATAACAAAAGATCTCAAGAGGCATCTAAGGCTGCAATTAATGTGTCAATAGTCTAGGCTAATATTGAGAGACTTTAGATAGACGTTTTTACATGTAAAAACAATTACAAGTTTCAAATTTCAAATATATATCCATATCACGTCATTAATAGTTATCAAAATGATTACAGCTTTAGTAGATTTCTGTTCTAAGAGATAGAAAACCAAGATCATTTGGCTGCATGAATTTAGTTGTACAACTACTTATAAAAACAGGTTGAATATATTTTTGAAAACTTATCTCTGTATCAGTAAAACAAACAAACAAGATCTACTTATATAGAAAGGGAGCAACTGTTTCTCCACATTCTATGTTGCAGATTAACACTCATGATTATGTCATACAATCACATTTATCTCTGGTTATATCAGTTATCAAAAAAGGCTTTTATAAAAAAATGAAATACAACATCACTGGAATTAAATATCTAACCACTGAAATTTCCTAGAATTCTATACTTCAGTAAACAACTTTTATAATGATGCATTTATATAAAACAAACATGGGGATCTTTTAGCCCATTGGCCACTGTATTTTCCATCCATTCATCCATCCGCTCTACTCAATAACTTTCTTCCTATAGTTCATATTTAGAAGATGAGCTACTTTCATACCAACAGCATGAAAAAAGCTGCTCATGTAAGGAAAAACTCTTTTCTTGCAACAAGGAGAGTTCTAATTCCTTTCTCTATAATAAAGAAACTTGATTTCTCATCTTTTCCATTTGTATTAAACAGAAAATCAGTAAAGCATACACAGCAGAATGGAATGTGATTATGCCTCCAGGAAAACAGATCCTGTGTCCCACAATCAAAGTAGGCCTTGGATGTAAAAACCATACAAAATGTAACTCATACACTGATTTAAAGCAATTCATCAATAGGCAGAAACTAATCTAAATTCTACATTTCTGCATGCCAAGTAGCAATTTAAAAAGTGCACAATGGGGGTAAAAATCTGAATAAAGTATGCATAGCTCATACTAATGACTTTGAAATCTCACGATACTAAGGAATTTTTAATCTAGGTGAAAGATAAAAATGTGGAATCTAATGAAAATTGTATTTATTCAGATGAGTTACATACTTTCTCAAATGCCTTGGGGCAGCGTACACATAGAACAATAAACAAAATATATTTATCATAAAATGTAACATTAATACAAACATTCCAAGCTATCATATCAAAGAGGTAATCACATTGGACAGGAACTCAAAACCCTATGTCTGGGGAAAGGAGGGATGTCAGGTCTTTAGAAAAGATAGGTTGGGGTTGGAGTTACCCAAACCTCAGGGTAATGTTCCATAGGACATACACAATGACAGAATGGCATTTTTAAGAGATGTCAACTTTGTTGGATCTTATCACTTGAGCTCACTCACTCACTTATCATCAAGTGAGCAGAGTTGCAAATAATTCAGCCTTGTGCATGAAGGGTTTTAATGGTGAATAACCAGCACTCTGAATTCCACCCAGAAGCCCACCAGCAATCCATGTAGCTCACAAAAGTAGAGATGCATAACTACTCATGTAGCTACAATCTGGGTTAGGTGCAGCCTTCAAGAACAGCCTTGGAATGTAGGTTGCTATAATCCAAATAAGAGATGACTAACACATTGAGTGAGTAGGGCCTCTCAATCCAGGAAAGGGCACAAACAATGCACTAAATAAAAAGCGTAGAGGACAGAATGAAAGGCATTGAAGAATAGAGGAAAAACTGCTCTCCGGGCAATTGTCACATCTTCAGTCTGGAACAAGAATATAGCTTAGCATAAATAAATGTTTCCAACAAGCCCTAGTTCACACAAAAAATATAGGAAGGGGTAAAGCAAGCACATTCAGGCTTTAAAGATTATGTTGCTATAGTTTTACAATAAAAACACTACTGATCTACGTGACAGTAATCTGATCTACCTTGAAGGTCTGACAGAATGGTACAAAAGTCATTCAAGTCATGGCTACCACCTGTTCTACAAGCCCTTTCAGAAAATCTTCACTTCCAGGAAGTTTCAAAATCTAGAACCAGGTGTACATTTGTTTCTGTCCATCTATGGCCCCACAGCCTCCAATTACTGACTGGGAACCTTAATGGCATCATTTGGCAGCAAGAGGTTGGGTATCATCAGCATACTGCTCTGTTTAATTCCAGGCCAATAGATGACCCAATGGATTTCTACTGATATCATCATCATCATCATCATCATCATCATCATCATCATCATCATCATAGCTATTGTCTATCTACTGCAGGATGAAAAACTTTTTCACATGTTTCCAACCAATATGGTTTTGAGCTTTCTTTCACCAATTGGGCCCAAAATACTTGTGAATGTTATAAGAGTGGAGAAAGAAGTACTGAGGTACCTCACAAATCAAGAGTTCGATCTCTCCCTATCTCCAACACTAACTGGAACTGATCCTGGAAGAAAAACTACCACAAAATCATATCTTCACTTCCAACCCCCTGAGCTGGTTCAGAAGCATACCATGATTGGTGGTAATAAAGGCACTGAGAAATCAAAGACAACTAGGATAGATGCACTATTTTCATTCCAGTTCTACTAGGGATCATCCAGAAGTACAATCAATGTCATCTGATACTATATCTAAGCCTATAGGATTCAATCTCCTATATCTGGAGACTGAAAGGTCTCCAGATAATCTATTTCCAGATAATCTGCTGACAGACCACTTTCTCAATAATCTTGCCCCAAAAGAGAGGGTTAAATATAGGACAGAAATTATCCAACACTATTAGATCCAGAGATCTAAAGAAGGAGCAGACCACTAACCAGGGTGGATTTGATTTAAATCAAGTCGATTTAAATCATGATTTAAATCACTAGTAAAAAGGCTTGATTTAAATCAACTCGATTTAAATCAAAATTTTTAAAGAGCAACTGTCATCTCTGTCCCAGAGAGGCTCCTCCTCTGACCAACTGTTGACTCACCAACAGTCCCAATATTGCAGAATATACAGCCTCATGCTACATACCTAAGCTCCATTTCATGCTGAATAAACTAAATTATTAATGTAGTTTAAATAGATTTTTACTCCAAAAGCATTTTATTAAAATAAATTTGATAAAAATAAAAAAAATCCATTAAAAAAATCATTGATTTTAATCCACCCTGCCACTAATTCCTTAAGAAAAGGTGAAATTGCCTTTTACTCAAGGATGAATTTCCCACAACCACCATTATATCCAATCATATATCATCTCCTAGAATCGTTCCCGAATCATCATCATCCAACCTGGAAAATCTCAAGCAAAACATCTTCTAGTCTCTGAAACCTTCAAAATGCAAAAGTCACCAACTTCTTTATAAAATAAGACACAGGAAGCATTATTTTTTTCCATGCATGAAGCAGAACCGTATTCTCTCCCTATATCTCTCAGCAGGGAAATAAGCCTGTTATTTATATAAAAAATTCTGTTCCAATTTTCTAGTTTTCATGTATTATTCAGTGGAAGTTCTTTCTCTGGCAAGGCTTCACACATTTGATAGCACTGGGTGGAGAGAAGTGCAATATAGTTCCAGTGAGGAGAGATACTGTAAGTTTCGTCACTCTGCTGTTTGGAATAATGGTGGCCAAAATAAGAACTAGACAAAAGGCATTGTTTCATATTACAATCTAGGTACCAGTAGAAATTCAAGTGAAGAATGAAAATTAAAACCAAGGGTTGCATTTCTTTCTTGATTTTTTTTGTTTTTATTTTTAAAATACTTAAAAATCTGACCTCTTGCAATTATATTTTTTGTGACAATGTTTAAAACATTCACACGCATAAATCAAAGGAAAAGAAAAATAGTAGTACAATAAGCACTTTTTCCTATGCTACTAGCAAAGAAAGAAGCATAATACTCTTCATATAATCATAATCTTTATCCACTATTTAGTACAGTAACATGGATAGTAACTAATCTCAGGCCCTCATCATATATGAGCAATGTATATCACCTGAACTGAACTCTAAACTGTTTACCAAAGTGAAAGAGACTGCAACAATGCATTTCAATAAGTAAGAGGATGTAATAAACACCAACTCAAATTTCAGACCACTAACAAAATTATTCATTTATCTTCCAACTACCATTTGCTTGTATTATACATTGTTCTAAAGAAACAAATGTCAGAGTTATCTGGAAGAATATAAAGACAATTTACAGAAGATAAACACAAAGCTGTGAGAAAAAATATTGTATTTGTACTGGGATTACATATCAGCTAGCCAAAATTCAGCATCTAAAATCTGTAAGAGAGATAATTGTGTTTTATAGTAGAATAAAACATTATATTTATTTTCACCCATGCTAAATTAAGGAAATTATCATGGGAGAAAGTGCTATAAAAATCAAGCTATGTTAAAATTAGTGGATTGGAAGGGATAGCTGAGCATAATGTTCCTTTCATTTAAACCACAGATTGAAA